AATCGAAGTGAGCTCCGATGAACTTTATCGATCTCGTCGGGGTGAGAAGGGATTTCTCGGCATTGAGTTGTAGACTGAGGTCCTGCAAGAGGCTGAGAGTAAATGTGACCTGTGCTCGAAGGAGATCTGGTGACGTCGAAGCCAGCAGCCAGTCGTCCAGATAAGGAAAGATGCAGATTTTGCGCCTCCTCAATTGTGCTGTGACGACTGACATGCACTTGGTGAAAGTCCTTGGTGCCGTCCCGAGGCCAAACAGGAGCACGGTGAAAGAGTACGTCTGCTCCCCAATCTTGAAGGAGAGGAACCGTCTGTGGGACTTCCGTATTGATAAATGGAAGTAAGTGTCTCTTAAGTCGATTGATGCGAAGAAGTCGCCTCGATACAGCATGGGGGTTATCGACGATACCGTAACCATTCTGAATTTTGAAACGCGGATAAACTTGTTCAGTGCCCTGAGGTCGAGGATGGGGCGTAGGGAGCCATTTGGCTTCGACACGGTAAAATATCTTGAAAAGAAGGCACGATTGTCCAAATAAGAAGGTCATCTTTGGATCGCTCATTTCAAAAGCAGTGAGTCGACTTCTGCCAGGATTGCCGGTGAAGGGTCCGTTTGGACAACGAGACCCGTAGGTGGTAACTCTTTGAACTGCAATGCATAACCGTCTCTGACAACCCTCAGCACCCATGCATCTGATGTGATACGCTGCCATGCATGGATGAAATGACCGAGGTGGTCCCCGAATTGAGGGGGCGCTCGGTCCGTGATGGTGGGCGTCTCGGTCCGATATCAAGTGACGGGGGAGGGATGGAGTCGACAAAAGTAGCGGAGATGGAAACGGTATCGTCGAGGAGGCCGTCAAACTCGACGTCTGGAGTTGCCGTTGGTTGTCGAGATCTAGACCTCTGGGGTTGCTGAGATCAACGTTGTTGCTGCTAAGGTTGAGACTGAGTGGCTGGCAAAGAGCGAAGAGTCTGTCTTGCAGATTGATGGCGATAAGAATGGTTGCCGAATTGACGTTGGCGGTAATTTTACCATCGCATTCTTTGGGCTTGTGATTTATTTTCAATGCCACACTTTGCAGCCAACAATTTATAGTCCTGGTTGGATTTTAATTTATCATCGGTACCGGCACTAAAGAGTCCCAAAGCGTCAAATGGTAAGTCTTCGATGACCTGTCGAGATGATGAAGAAAGGCCCGACGAACGAAGCCAAGAATGTCTTCGAATGGCTATCGTCTGGGCTATGATCTTGCCGGCGGTGTCGCCAGTGTGTTTTGCCATCTGCATTTGATGGTGTGCAAGGCTGAGAGGACCGCACGGTCTTCTTCTGACAGTTTGGCGAGAAAGGGCTGGGCCTTCTCCCAGATGATCTGCTGGTAAGCGCCCATACATGCTCCATAATTTGCCATCCTAGCAAGGAGGAGGGCTCCAGAATAGAGCTTTCTGCCCACTGCATCAAAGCGTTTTCCCTCACGATCTGAAGGGGTGTTACGACTGCCTTCCAGCCTGAGCCGCTTTGACCACAACCGAGTTTGGGTCAGGGTGATGCTTGAGCCATTCTAGGCCTTCATCATCCATTCGATACCAGGCCTTGATGCGTTTGGAGGTTGGTGGTATCGACGAAGGGTCTTCCAAGATGCTTGAATGACCTCTAGTAGGTAAGGCAGGAACGGAAGCAATGGGGCTGGTGGAGCTTCAGACTGGACTCTCTTAAACACCGGGTCGGTAACAGCTTTAGCGGTTTGTTTGACCTCAAGGCCCAGGGTTTCTGCCATTCTGGCCATTTAGTTGGCAAAGGATCGAACATTGTCAGTTGGTGAGGGCGGATCAGCCTCGTATGCTTCATGGGTTGGCGACCTGTCGAGGCCTAAGGAGATCACCGATTCCGAGTGTACCAAACCGTGGATTTCTTTATCATGATCGTCATCCTCCGAGGGGTGAGGAGAGGACGAAGGCTGTCTCGACGGCATCAGTAAAGGTCTAGTGACTCCAACCAGAGATGACGGGGGAGGAGGTTGCTTCGATGCCGATGCTTGGGCTGCCCTTGCCAGTCGAGTGGTTTAGTGCCCTCTTTCTGGTGTCAACGCTGGAGGAAAGAGTTCTTGCCTCGCGACAGGATGTTATTGCGGAATTTCTACCACTGTCTGCACGGATTGGCCCGGCGAGACATGGGATTCCTCTTCCATCTGGACGTCTGGAGTCAGGTCGACCAATGGTATTGGTTGTTGCACCGACTGGATCGGGGATGACCTGGATGAGGTCGCTGAAGACGTCTGAGTCAATCGTTTTGAGGATGAGGAAGAGGAAGATCAAGGTTGAGGCCTCTTCTTAGCCGGGGGATGCAATGTGGGCTGCAAGGACTTCCCCGGCACTGGAGGAATCGCGGCCGGTGTGGATTTGGCCCTGCGAGACTCCTCATTAGACCTCTTGAAAGCGATCCTCATGGCCAAAGTGGACAGCAGCGTGGCTGTGGTCGACCTTGTCGATCGAACAGAGGCTACCGAGCTCGAGATGGACGGACACCTTGCCGACACCGTCTGTGTTGTTAGCGTACAGGCTTGTTTTTGAGGCCGTTTCGACAACTTCAAGGTCGTGGAAGGTGGCTTCGATGACTGCATAGTCAAAGTCAAAGAAGAAGCCAAAGGAGGTTGAGATGTGGACGCTGTCGAAGTCGATGGCTGAGGAACCAACGATTCTTCTTATAGAAAAACTTTGAGGCGCGCTGCCCTGTTCTTTCTTGACTGGGCTGTCAGCGCCTGGCAGTGCTTGCAGGTCGAAGTGTTGTGAGCCTCACTTTGAATGTTTATCTGAATCAGGTATTTTTCTCGGGCATTGAGTACAATGCTTGAAGTGAGTTGTTGACATAGTCAGGGAAGATTCTGAGCGAGCTGTGCGGCGGAAAAACAGGAACTGCAGAGCATGCACGCGGGGCGCCTTTTATGCTCTGCTGGGTGGCTGGGCGGGGTTACCGCCAAAACTTAAAAGTTTCAAGTTGGGAAGTTTTCTGTTGGAGCCTGCGCAGGCGCAGATACTCCATGTATGTGCATTTACAGAGGCCACGAAGAAAAAATTCAAGTTTGGTAGCTTCTGACCAATCTCTGGTCTTCCCTGCAATTGCTTTAAATTCTAGGGAATATTCTGCCACCTGCCTGTCTCCCTGATAAAGTTGTGTCTTGAAATCTACTTTTAAGGCTCCCAAGAAATCTTGGAGCTGATGCAAGTCAGGGGCTCGAGTGTCATACATCTGCATCAGCCAGTCTGCCACTGGTCCCTTTAAGTGTGCACCGACAGCATGGATTTTGGTTCCCTCCGTTGGGAACAGGGTGCCATCATCATCCATATAATGTCTTTCATTGGTAAGTAAGTAGGAGAGCTGGCTTGGATCCCCTTTAAATTTTACTCTCGGTTCACCTTTCCTGGTTGCCATGGATAACTGGCTCCTTCCAAGCATCCCCGATTGGGAAGTTGTGGTTCCTAGGGGCCCCGTCTCCTCCTCTTCATCTGTAAACATCACCCAGCCTGAGGCCCAGGGTGCCACTGCTCTGATCCCAAACTAGGGGCCCTGCCTGGGTTCTCTCTCCGTCGATGCTCTGATAGACACAGCCAGTTCTCATCTCCTCTTATCAATTTGAAATGAAGTTTATAACATCCTCTCCATAATGTCTACCTTTTTCTCCAGATGTCGCCTTTCTGAGTTAAAATCTCCGACTGCCTCTCCAGTTTCTCTGGAAGGGAGCTTTCATTGCACCGTCACTCCTTTTCCCACCACGCCTTGGATCGAGCTCAAAGGCAGCCCAGTAGGTCACTGTTCCCCACTCTCACTTCCCAGAGCAGAAAGATCCATTCCTAGTGTGGCTGCCAAGGTCTTGGTGGCAGTAGTTACCTCAACGCTGGCTGCCTTGAGATCCAGTTGCTCTCCTTCCTTTGAAGTACTCATGAGTAATTGCACCGCTTGTGCAGGAAAATTAATAAGAGGAGTACTGTCTTAATGTCAGACTCTGGAAGATCTTGGAGTTAAAATCAAGCTCACAACAATAAAACACTGGAGACGAGTGATTTATTTCTTCTTTCCACAATCCTACAAAGACGGTTCTAAAGCTTTCCCACTCAAACTTCCTGTATATATATATATCAACCTCAACTCCCATCCGCCCCCTAGTGACCAAACACTGTGCCCACGGTCTCCTAACTGCAGTTTCAATTTCCCTCACAAAACAAATGTCTTATCTACACTACCTTCCCCAACTGTAGCCAGCTTCCTGCACCCACACCTCCCTTCTTTAAGGCAGAGAACCGAAACAGCCAGCCCCAGGCTGAGACAGTGATCCTGACACAGGGCCAGCTAACACCTCCCAACAAAGGATTCCCCCTGGCAGGAAGCAGCCAGGCTTTGAAGCTGCAAGGCCATTCAATGCTAATCAAGGTGGCCAATGGCAACACTCACACTTACCTCAAACAGACAAGAGTTCTTACTCCCTCCCTGGACATCATTCTACAGATATATAAACCCCACTTACCTAGTTTTCAACAGACCTCACAACCTCTGAGGATGCCTGCCATAGATTTGGGCAAAACGTCAGGACAGAATGCTTCTGGAACATGGCCAGACAGCCAGGAAAACTCACAGCAACCCAGTGATTCCAGCCGTGAAAGCCTTTGACAACACATTAAACAATGACTTCTTCTGATAATTATTATTACAGAATCCCAAACCTGCTCATCATCGGGTATCTAAACTAGCTTTAATAAATAAAATCCTGGCCCTATTTCTGGTCACAATTATTTTGGAGAAGAGAGACCCAAATTGTAGCGAGCTTTTTTTTTTAAAAAAAAGCTTTCATACAAGTGCATATTCAAGTATTCATATTTGAAGATTGACTTGAAGGGCACCTGTCTTATTCACTTTTCTCAGGCTGAGAGAGAGGGTTAGCATGGCTTTTATGAGAACCAAACTCTGTTTTTGTTACAAAGACAGTGGTGGCAGGTCATAGAATGCCTACCATGGGGTGGGTTGCCCGGTTGGCTTAGCCCTTGGCCAAGTTGGTCTGTAAGCCAGAGTTGCATGCGGATGAATGGCTCTCGTCCTTTTTGCGTGAGCTTGCTCCAGGGCTTGGGCCTGGACAACATGTCACTCACGCTGCCTTGAGACAATCCCAGTACCTGAAAAAACACAAGGGGAAAAGGCCTTAGGCCATACGTATGCTCTGCCATTTAAGACCGCCACAACATATAAACAAACAAAAACTAGGGAGAAACCATTATCCTCTAGCCAAGAGACATGGACACAAATCTGAGAGAATTTTAGACAATGTAAATATAAGCTCAATGCAAAATATTCAACTGAAACTCTACTACAATGATAGAAATTTGGGGACTGAAGGAAAAATTCAGTTGGGCAGAACTGTTCTTTGGGATGCAATGCCATCCTTTTGCCCATCACTACACCCATATAACCCTTTCCCATCCATTCACACATCATTTTTCACTTCTCACTTGCAGTTTCTTTCACACTGATGCATGCAGAGAGCCTTTCCAATTCCCCCAGCCTTTTTGGAACCACATCTTTCTTCCTGATGTACCTTTTCCCCAAAGATGCGTTGGCAGATCCCATTCTTGGCGAGCTTCTCCTTGACCTGCCGCGTCAGATCCAAGGTGTCGACTTCCCGATACATGTACATCTCATATTGTTCAGGCGTCAGGGGTGGCACGGTGGGCTTGAGGGTCCTTGGTACATAGGATGGGTAGTAGGAGAGGCGCCTGGTGGATAGGGGCTCAGAGCCCACCGTTTCCAGCTTGACCTCCAGCACCCGGTGGGGCTCGTCCTCAGAGGTGGGGAGGTCCTCCTCGGTCGGGACGGCCTCGCCAGCTTCACCCCGCTGCCACCCGCGCCCGTTAGCCGTGCTGGAGTAGCTAGATGAGGATGAGAGGGAGGGTGACACGGATGTGTATGGGCGGCTCAGCAAGCTCCTCTCAGAAGCCCAGTGCTGGTCAAAGTAGGAGCCGGCGTCCCCAATTTCAGATTTGACTTTGCGGATGATGCTTTGGACAAAGGCGGCAGGGGAGAGTACTGTCAAGGGCCCCTGGGCCATGCTGCTGCTGGTGCTGGGGCCCATCATCCCCTCCTCTTGCTTGATGTACTCCTGGACAATGGTCTGGCTGACGGCAGCCAAGGCAGAGTGCTCAACTGGTGGAGTGAGGAGAGGCCTGCTGGAGTTGCCTGACTCGATTTCCAGCAAGGCCTGTTGCTGAGCCTGCATCTCCCGGCGGGCCTGCTCCAGGATGCTCTTGATGGCGTCTTCCGAGTTGCTGCTTGTGGCACCGTTGGCTGTTGCCTGGGGCGCTGTGGAGCCCTTGGTGTCTCCTAAAGGGCAGGCAAATAACAGTAGTGATTGGGAACCGGGACTCCTCCACTACAGGACCATGTTTCTTGAAATCTTTTCCAACTGGCCCCAGCATTACAGCCCATAGCAATGTCTAAACTTCAATTACACTGAAAATTCAGAACAATCATAGAATCATAGAATTGGAAGAGACTTCTCAGTCACAGCCCTGTCAGAAGTGTGATTGGTTGGGATGAGAGGGGGGACTTCTCCGTGATCGCTCCCCGCCTCTGGAGCTCCTTTCCAACCCCCTGCCAAGAAGCAGGAAAATCGCATTCAAAGCATCCCCAACAGATGGTCATCCAGCCTCTATTTAAAAGCCTCCAAAGAAGGAGCCTCCACCACACTCTGGGGCAGGGAGTTCCACTGCCAAACAGCTCTCAGACAATCTCTACTCACAAGGATGTTATTGTGCTGCTGTGCTTTGTTATGGCTCTAAAACTGTTCCAAACTAGCTTTCTTGTCAATCTATTTACAAAGAGATCTTTTGGCATCTTAGAGACAACTAAGAAAACCAAGTTGGCAGTAGAAACTTTCCTAAACTTCATTTTCTCAGGCCCCTTCTACACTGCCATATAAAATCCAGATTATATGCTTTGAACTCAATTATATGGCAGTGTAGACTCATATAATGGTGCAATGGGTTAAACCTTTGTGCTGCAGAACCGCTGACCTGAAGGCTGGCTGAACTGCTGACATGGAGGCTGGCAGCTGAATTTGCAAGACAGGGTGAGTTCCCATCTGTCAGCCCCCGCTCCTGCCAACCTAGCACTTTGACAACATGCAAATGTGAGTAAATAAATAGGTACCGCTTCAGCGGGAAAAGGCAAAGAGACGCTCCAAGCAATTTTGCCGGTCACACAACCAGGAGGTGACAATGCAGGCTCCACAGCTTGAAAATGGAGAAAGCACCTCCCCAGAGCCAGAGATGAACACCGCCCCCAGAAGCCGGAAATGAAAGGAGAAGCCTCTGCCTTTGTTTGAGTTTATGTGTCTCATTGTATATGATTGTAAAGGCACTGAATATTTGCCTATGTGTGTAAATGCTGTAATCCACTCTGAGTCCCCTGGGGGAGAAGGGCGGAATATACATTAAATTTATTATTATTATTATTATTATTATTATTATTATTATTATTATGTAATCTAATTCAAATCAGAATGTGGATTATCTCCTTTGATAATCTAGGTTATATCGGAGTGTAGAAGAGGCCTCAGCCTCAAAGGCGCTACAATTTCGCTTTGTATACTGACAATCCAGACTAACAAGGCAATGCCTATTTGTCAGATTGTATGTTCCAGTTTCTGACAGTGCTGTGTTTATGATATTTCATTGTTGATTTCACCTCTGTTTAATCAAGTTGCCCAATAGTATAACATTTTTTGTGCACCAGAAAAGGCCTCATTCATCCCCAAAGATGGTGTTTAACAATAACTTAAATAAATAAATAAACAAGCAAACAAAAACTAAAAAAGGGAGTCTATTCATTTATTCAAAACGAGTGCTCTCTCATATTGTGGTTCGAAATGTGACACACTCAATACTCCCATGTAGCCGGAATATTTCCCTCGCTAGTCACTTCCTAACATATGGGGGTGGAAGAGAGCCTATAGGGGGCAGCATACAACACGCTCATTTCGACTGAGAGGGGGGAAAAACCACAATGAAGGTAACTGGACAGCTTGCAAGAACCTGGGGTGTCTATTTAAGGTGCAGCTAAAGGCTGATGACGGACACTGTCTTGCGCACCATGGAATGTGAAGCTCTTTGTGCCGCGGTAGTTTTAGATGCTGCAGAAGGCACCACAGATACCCTTGAATATGCTTGCAGGGAGACGGATCCCCAATTCACTTAGCCAAAGTTTAAACTAACTGTCCAAACAAAAGAGGTGACTTTCATTTCCTTCTCAAGTCCACAATGCTGCTGACTTACCTCCTTTCTGTGACTCAATCTCCTTCTTGGCTTGCTCAAGGATGTTCTTGATGGCATCATCGGAGCCAGTTTCAGGCGTCCTAATCCTTGGCGTAATGCTACCTGATCAAAGAAGCACAGCAGCAAGGGCTGTCACTTGCCTCATGTTTTGTTCCAGTTTCATTCATGTAATGTTAAGGAAGTATTTACTGATGTTGGTGCTCAGCTATTTTTAGGAATCCTCATTTGGAGGAATGTCTCTTGGCATTAGCTCGCTTGCCACAACAGAAAGAGATCAGGAACAGGGCTGATGGATGGGGCCTGAGTGAGACAATGGCTCTAGAAGGGCAAGGGAGGGAAGCTGGAGCGGCATGGGCCAGCCCTCATCTGGGTCCAATTGGGGATTTGCCAGGAGGCAAGTGGCCGCGTCACAGGAAACCCAACTTGGTTCTGACTGTTGGTTTGTCAAATTCACTACCTCTCTGTCAGCCTTCTCCTCAGTACAATCCCTTCTAGGATCCGTATCTCCATGAAGAGTCAAAAAGCTTTTATTTGTTTCTGACTGACTCTTCGCGTCATATATGCATCCTAAGAAACATGGAGATGAGGAATCTAAAAATGGTTTTAGAAGAAGCCTTCCAAAGGTTGAAGGCTGGACATGTTGTTGTTGAATTATACAAGGGCTGCCTTACCTTTGTTTATGTGCACAAGGGCGATCCATACCACCCATACACATGCCAACTTCTTGCCTACACTCACCTCTCTGGCGCACCTGAATGGTCCTCAGGGCCAAGACGTTCTGCTCATCAGAGAGGAACTGCTTCATTTTGATGAATGGCTCTTTGCCCTTGACAGTGAGCTTGCGCCAAGGCTTCGGCCGAGCCAGGATCTCACTGACAGAGCCTTGAGAGAGGCCCAGGACGTAATGCCCAAAGACCCGCTGGCCAATGTTGTGCTTAAGCAGTTGCTCCTTGACTTGGAAAGCAATCTCTGCAGTATCCAGGTGCTCGTCGTCGGGTGAACCTGAATTGCTCCCTTCCGACTGGTCACTGGGGAGGCTCAGCTCATTTGCGGGGAGGGCTTGTCCAGGGTTGCCTGGCAACGTTGCTCCCTTGGCGGTATAGAAACCAGAGGGGAATGCCACGAGGCTGCTGGTCTCACTCTTGTAACCAGGAGGCCCCCTGTGTTTGGGGAGAAGCAAGTCCAGGGGTATCCGCTCCACGGTGTTCAGGCTCGGGAAGGGGGACAGGCAGAAGCTACGAGAGCCTTCCTGAGCCACAGCAGGACCCAGCAGGGGCTGGATGAGGGGAGGAGAGGCAGTGTCGTCCCGGGAAGTGTGTGAGAGCGGTTGTGGGGAAGGGAAGGCCTGCCCGGTACCCATGGAGTCCTTCACTGACTCATCCTCTGAGGGATCCTCCTCTAGAGACCAAAGAGAAAGGCAGAGATACACACACCAACTATAGCTTCCACCAAAAGACTCTACATATCACTTGGACAAACATCTGGGCCAGAGTTTCAAGTTATTTTTTGGTGAAGAGTATCTCCCAGTAACCTCTTCTCACAGAAACCCTATTTCTTAGGTGGGAACTCAAGTGACTTGCACACTGAGTGGCCTAGATGTAAGATCAATAGGCACCTAGAATAAGGCCTTTAAAGCTGGAAATAATTCCAGATCAATAGGCAAGGAAACCTCAACATTGTCACCGCAAAGGGAGAACCTCTTTACCCAAACTCCCTTGTTCTCAACTTACCAGTGCTGGGGATGAGGCTTCGCTTTTCCAAAAGGTATTTCTGTGATGGGTAGAAGGAGTCCTTTTCCAGAAGCAATGCATCAGCGGGTTTTGATATGCTCTATAATAATCATCATTAAATAAGGAGGGAAGGGAAAGGGTTGTAAAAATGTTCAAACTGACAGAGCTTTTTCAAGTGTTTCTGAGATCCTCTTCATTTTAAAACGTGTGGGGAATTAAAATATACAGTGATAATATATTGAAACTAGTAAAATAAAAACAGCAACAAAGCAAGCAATGCAACGTTTGTTCAGAAAGGCAAGTGACCTCATAACTCAACTTGTTACAACAATTCTGAAAAGGAGTTGCTGTCTGTTGACTGTTGTTTTTATTGTTCCATTGATGGTTTATCGTCCACTTTTGGGGTTTTTTCATTGTTATTTTGTATTTCGCAATGAACGTTTTATAGGCATTGCCTTGAGAAAAATTTGATGGATGCCAATTTAGGGACAAATAGACCAGGCTTAAAAATCACCAACCGGCCACAGAATAACACCATCTGCCTAAGAAACCAAAGAATGCTCTAAACCTCAAAAAATCTTCACTTGCCAATCAGCTGCCCACAACGGAATTTTACAGGCCTTCTGAAGCAGGGATTTGCAGAGCCTTAGCGCAAACTAAGCTTGGAAAAGTTAATTTGTGAGAGGAACTGTTAGGAACCGTTCAGTCACCAAATAGCTTAATACCTTCATGTTGGAGGAGATGGCCTTTTTCATTGGTAATTCTCTGCATTTGGTCTTCCAAATATTTTGGACTTCAAACTCAGAGCCAGCATAGCCAATTCTCAAGGATTTGTTGAGCTGAAGTTCAAAACACCCAGAAGACCAAAGGCTGAGAACCACTGTTTTGCATCATTACACAGAGCTTGGACAAAATAGTTTTTGTACTACAAATTCCAGAACACCCTGGGCAATATGGCCACTCATTTGACATGATATGTAGTTTTTCACCATGTTGGCTAGGGGATGCTGGCACAACCTTGTCAACTTTTGGCATTAGAAGTCACAAGCACAGCTCTCAATTTCACTCTGAAATGAACAGAAAGCCAGCAAGGTGTGGACAGTCAACAGTTTGGCCTCACACCATCCTTAACCCGCTGCAGTCTTTAAACATGCATCAAAGGCAGCTCCATGCAAAGTGCATGACACTAGCTCTGCTGAGATGAAAAGAAGGCCCGTGTCCCAGCCCAGCCAGACCCATTCGGACATGTCCGTTCTTCCTGCAAAGGAGCACTTGCCTGAGAGAGGCTGCAGTTCGAGGAGGCCAGCTTCATCCCTTTCAAGATGCTGCAAGAGGGAAACAGCAGCATTAATGAGGATCCTTTTTGGTTGAGTTCCAGTGTCAGAGAAGCAGATGGTGAAAATAGAAGAATGACCTGCCTCAGGGGAGCGTGCTTGCTCTAGCAATGTTTCACATTTACACAAATGATCAGCCACTGCCAGAAGGCACAGAAAGTTTCATCTATGCTGATGTTCGTGCCATCACCACTCAAGCAGGGAGCGTTGAAATGGCTGAACAGAAGCTCTCCAGAGCTTTAGGTGCTCTTACTGCCTATTACAGGTAAACCAGCTGATTCCTAATCTATCTGAAATGCAGATGTGTGCTTTTCACCTTAAGAACAGGCAAGCATCTTGAGCTCTGAGGATGACCTGGGAAGAAATCCCACTGGAGCATTGCAGCACACCAAAATACCTTGGAGTTACTCTGGACTGTGCTCTGACTTGCAAGAAGCACTGCTTGAATACCAAGCAAAAAGTGGGTGCTAGAAATAATATCATACGAAAGCTGACTGGCACAACCTGGGGATCACAACCAGATACAGTGAAGGCATCTGCCCTTGCGCTTTGCTACTCTGCTGCTGAATACGCATGCCCAGTGTGGAATGCATCTCACTACATTAAAACAGCGGATGTGGCTCTCAATGAGACGTGCCGCGTTATTACAGGATGCCTACGCCCTACACCACTAGAGAAATTTTACTGTTTAGCCAGTATTGCATCACCTGATATTTGTTGGGAAGTAGCAGTCAGTAATGAATGGACCAAGGTAGTGACATCTCCAGCCCATCCTCTTTTCGGATGTCAGCCAGCAAGCCAATGCCTTAACTCAAGAAACAGCTTCCTAAGATCTACAGTAATACATGCAGGAACACCTCAGCAAGTGAGAGTCCCAAAGTAGCAGGTTAAAACCTGGAACCTCAGTCAGTGTCTGATACCAGATGAGAGACTTTCTTCTGGGCACACAGAAGACAAGGTGACTTGGAAGGTGCTGAACAGGCTGTGCTCTGGCACCACGAGATTCAGAGCTAACCTTAAGAAATGGGGCTACAAAGTGGAGTCCACAGCATGCAAGTGCAGAGAAGAGCAAACCAAAGACAACTGATGACAATGCAACCCTGAGCCCTGCCACATGCACAATGGAGGACCTTCTCACAGCGACACCAAAGGCACTCCAAGTGGCCAACTTCTGGTCAAAGGAAATTTTGTACAATGCCAAGTTTTAAACTTTGTTTGTGTTTCTAAATACATTATAACTGTATCCCCAATTCGCTTCTGACACAATAAATAAATAAACAAGGAGCGGGGAACAGAGCTCACAATTCTTCCATGTGTAGCTAAGCTGGTTGGGTCTAAACAGAGGCTGAGAAAGTTACACCTGATTAGTGGTGTGAGGGGTGCCCATACCAGACAACCATTAGGAAAAGAAGATTGGGTAAGGTAATTTGAGGTCATTCAATGCTCAGTATGATTATATGAGAGGAGAAAAGGAAGCTCAGAAAACATTAACTAGCTCCGATAATATAAGGGCAAACAAATCATTCTTGCTGGGCCTCTCGCCCAAAACAAGGGACCTTACCTCAGTTCTGTCTTGATCTCCTCATAATCTGACTGGGTTCGTAATTTCTCTTCCAACTTCTAAAAGAAATATGTATGTATATATGGAATAGAGCAATTCATGTATAAACACATGTGAAAAAGAGTCAGAATCAGGGGTAGGAGTTTATGGTGATAAAGTAACTCTAGACAGTAACAGTGGGTACAATTCAGCTGGGATTAAATCTAATAGAGATGTATTTCAATCTTCGCCCCTTCCTGCCCCAAGTCTGTGGAACACTTTCTGTTCATCGGTGTCCCCTTTTGTAAAGCAAGATTAAACTATTGAACAAAAATATAGTTGATGAACTGGGAATCTTCAAATAGAACACGACTTTTCTGATTAACTATGCATAAGGCAAAAGAATAGAAAATCTTGAGAAGTTGTCAGGGAAGGAATGGTGGTACAATCCAATATTACTCCACACAAACTTCTATAGGGCAACCCTTCGCCTCAGCTCATCCCCCATGTACCTCAATAGCCTCATTCTTGGCCGCCAACTGCTGCTCTAGATCTGCAATCTGACTGGCAGAAGACTCCTCCATTTCTTGTATGGTGTTTTGCAAATGCTGGATTTCTTTGAGGAGGCGAAGGATTTCCCGATCCTTGGTGGCTAGTGCTGCCTCAAGCCTCGGTCCTGGGCACAAAGTGTAATTCATTTTGTCCTACAAAAGAAGGGATGCAAGGAAGGGCTGAAAATCCCATGGAAGGACCCGCTAGTGAAAACAACAACAGGGACTTAGCAGACACCTCCAAGCTAAGGCAGGATTTGGAGAGGGGACTTGGGGAAGTCAAGTAGGATAGGGTGGGATTAAAGGGCCCTGCTACAAAGGAGGAGATCTGGGGCCCAATCTTGACCTTGGACCAGTGAGCACCTTTCAGTCTAGGCCTGTTGTGAGGATAAAGGGGAAGAAGAAAAGTCACATACATGGCCTTGAGGGGCTGGAGGGTAAGTAGCAACCTTCTTCAAGCCTCCACTAGTTATTTGTTATGTATATAATTTAGATTGCTCAATGTATTGTATATGTGTGTAATGGTATGCAATTTTACTGTAACTCTTTGTAGTGGGAGGGGCTGCAGACCATGTGATCAGGTCTGGGCTTGATCATGACTTAAGACTCCATTTTAGAACGGTATGCTTTCAGACGCCAGCAAAAACTGTATGCTTAGAGATTTCGGAAGGAACAGTATGCTTAGAGGCTCCATTGGACTTTCAGACTAGACAGAGACTCTATTAGACTCTCAGAACAGAGAGATGTTTGAACTATGGACTATTGATTATAAGAAAGATGCCCTGTGTTACATACACAGAGAAACTACTTCAAATGCTATCTGTAACTGGATTGATATGCAAAGTACCTGTATGCTGAATACATGAAGTTTGTGAGTAAACCAACTATGTAACTTTTAAAGAAGTCTACTTATTTTGTCTCTTGAGAGCATGATTTAAAGACAAATATATTTTAAGGGAGAGTAGATGTTTTGGGGCAACTAAAAGAACACTTCCGAAACTCTGCTGAATATATTTATATGTTTTTTTGTGCATTGTCATATCTTTGTCCCTAACAGTTCAAAGACATACCTAGGTACATCAGTTTAACAGCTGAGAAACCTAGTTGCCTTGCATGAATGCCATTTCCCCAAAAGGTTATGACTCTAACAGGTCATGCTTTTACCAAGAGGTTATGGCATCATTTTTCAAAAGCTTATGACTTCTAACAAGGTCATGCCTTTCCAAAGATCATAAAATCTCCAAAATGTTATGGAAATTTCCATTTTCCAAAAAATACAAATAGGAAGTCCTCATGGACTGAATATTCCAATACCTGTTATTATTCCTGACAGACCCACTTTGACCAACAGAAGGAGTTTTTACATACATGAGTAGCTAGGTAAAATTTGTCTATGGAGAACTTTCAATTTACTGTATATACTCGAGAATAAGCCTAGTTTTTCCGCCCTTTTTTTAGGCTGAAAAAGTACCCCTCGGCTTATACATGAGTCAAGGTTATTTATTATTTTACTCTGTTATTATTATTATGGTTACATTTATTATTTTACTCTATTTATTATTACTACTACTACTATTACATTTATCATTTTACTCTATTATTATTATTATTATTACATTTATTATTTTACTTTATTATTGTTGTTATTATTACATATATTAGTTTACTCTATTTATTATTGTTATTACATTTATTATTTTACTCTATTATTACTGCTATTATTACATTTCCATTATTTTACACTATTAATATTATTATTATTACAGTTATTATTTTACTCCATTATTATTGAAAGGATACGTAAGCACACTTACATTGAAGAAGGTTAGAACAATGGTTTAATCAAAGTTGGGTAGTTTTATATTAAATTACAGTTTTATGTAAATATTCAAAAACATTTAACCTACTGATGCTTCAATTAATACAATTTCACTGGTATCTATTTTTATTTTGAAATTTACCAGTAGCTGCTGCATTTCCTACCCTTGGCTTATACTCAAGTCAATACGTTTTCCCAGGTTTTTTGTGGTAAAATTAGGTGGCTCGGCTTATATTCGGGTCAGCTTATACTCGAGTATATACGGTATCTTTTAGAAGGAGTGGGGCAGAGTGAATAGAAGCCCTTGAACACAGAGCAATTTCAGAGGGGCAATTTAAAAAAAATAAAAAGACGAATGGAGCAGCACGGGATCAAGGAGAAGCAGTCCTGTTCTGACCTGGCTTCTTTTAGGCAACAAAATGGGCACAATTTGCTTAGGCCATGCTTCTCAATGCCTATGGTCCTCCTGGCCCTTACCCCACTGGGTCCTTGGGGTGAGCAACAAGCCAGGCGAAGGGAGTTGTTGACAGAGGCCAGCTGCTCCCGCAGGGTCTCCACCTCCCTCTGGGCAGTCTCAGTTCTCTGAAATGGAAAGGGAATAGATCATTTATTACAATATATAAAATATAATAATATATATAAATAATAACATTGTGATGTAATAATACTAATATATTATATATAATATTAATTATTAATCAATAATAATGTTGTAATATAACATATTATATGTTACGAGCTGTGCTCTGCCACGCGTTGCTGTGGCCTATAGTAAGAATTTTTGAAGTATAGGTAGATATCTGGACTATTATGAAAGAGAGATACCTACCTATTAATTTCCCCCTTTTTCTTCCCCTTCTCTCCTTTCTTCCTTTTCTTTCTTTCATTCCTTCTTTTGCTCTTTGGTTTCATCCTTCCTTCTCTCTTTCCTTCCTTCCCTCCCCCTTTCTCTTCTTCCTTTGTCCCCTTTCTTTCCTCCCTGTTTCCTTCCTTCTTTCACTTTTTATTTCCTTTTCTCCTTCCTTCCTTCTTTACCTCTTTTCTGCATTTCCCTCCCCCTTTCTTTCCTTTCTATTTTCTCTTCTTCCTTCCTTCGGTACCTCTTTCTTTCCTTCCTTCTCTCCTTCCTTCCCTCCTTCCTTCTTTCCCTCCCTCCTTTCTTCTCTCCTTCCTTCCTGTCTGTTCTCCCCCAATACCATGCTAGAGTCCCTTCTAACTCTATTCTACGAGTCTATTTAATATAGTAATATATAGTAGTAACATTATATTGTATAGTAGTATATATAACTATATATATGTATTATATAGCAATATAGATAATAGTAATATATAAAGTATTGTAATCATACACACACACACACACACACACACACACACACACACACATACATATAACCAACCAGTGATCCAACATCCATCCATATGTGTGTGTGTGTGTGTGTGTGTGCATGTGTCTACACTGCCACATAATCCAGTCCTAAGCAGATAATCTGGATTTTACATGGCAGTGTGGAAGGGGTGACTTTGGGTGCATCTACACTGTAGATTTAGTAATAGAGGATGAAGCTGGCAAGGGGAGGAGAAAAAGGAAGGAAAGAAAGGGAGGAAGGGAAGGGAGGAAAGGAAAGAAAGGGAYGGAGKAGWYAGGGAGAAAAGGAAYGGAAGGGAGGAAGGAGGGAAGGGWGGGAYGYYAAGAAGTAAAGYAAGGAGAAGGAAGGGAAGTYGAGAAAGGGAGGAAGGGAAGGAAAGAGGAGGGGAAGGAGGGGGTTGGACTGGATGGTCTTTAGGGCTCCTTTCCAAACTGGTTGGCCATCTGTTGTGAGGGCTTTGATGGTGTCTTCCTTTACTGSCAAATGWGGTTGGGCTGGATGGTCTTTGGGGCTCCTTTCCAAGCAATGTCAGTTTTGTGTYTCCCTATTAGCCCCATCATGATACCTTCSTCCTTCRCTTGTGCTGTGGGAGTGTGTGTGTGGGAGACAGAGAGTCAGAGTGTGTGCACAGAGTGTGGCCCACCTCCCTCTTTTTTCCTCCCCCCCCCTCTCTCCTCCCCCTCCTTCTTCTCCTTAGCCCTTTGATCCCTTGTCTTAGTGTTAGTTAGGGGCCGAGAGACATGCAGGGAGCAGCAACCATTGCCGCCACTGCTACTTCGGAACCCTCCTTCTGTGTCCTCAGCGTGAGGGGGGGGGGAGGGCAGGGGAGGTGTGTTGTCTTCTTCCTTTTTTGAATTTTAAGGTGTTTTTGTGGGGTTTTTTTTTCAGTGATGGTCACTCTTTGGATTGTGAGGAGTTTTATTGCCAAATTTGGGGTCATTTGGCCCCATAGTTTTTTTGTTTTTAAGGTACTCATTACGGACAGAGCATTTTTATATATATAGATATATACTGCAACTTAGTACAATATAGTAACATACAATACTAATATGGTGCTATGCTAATAACATAATACATTGTACATACATATAATATTGGTAATAATATAATGTAGTACCATATAATACTAATAATAATACAATATAATAATATACATTAATATTGTAATATAGTAATACAAATATATTAAATATAATTAGTACTGATAATATAAAATAATATATAATGATATGCTGTTTTATTATTATATATTTCAAGTTGTAATGTTTTTGATTGTGAGCCGCTTTGAGTCTCCATATGGAGAGATATAGCAGGATATAAATAAATAGACAAGCAAACAGATGGGTGGCAGGATCCTGCTTCAAGAGAGGGGAGTCCATACAGCAGACTTCTCTTCTGCTCCTTGGCTCATGCTTGGGGCAATCCTGCCACCTAACCCACATGTTTTGTAACTGTTACCTGATTGGCTTTTTCAAGGTTCGCCATGATCATGGCCACTTCATCTGTCCTGGGGTGGCAAAGCAAAGACAACCAGTTAGAATGTGTACAAGACAGAGAACTTGCACAGAAGGGTTCTTCACTTTAGAGCAGGTAAACTAGGTCTGGAGATCGAGATACAATCAACCCCCACTGAGACCCACCAGGCCCCAAGATGCCTTTAAAATGCAGAAAGATTTAAAATTAAACCCCACCCACTCCCTTAGACCTTTAAAGGTGTGTGTGGAGCCTGAACTGTGTTCAAAACCCTCTTCTTTCAACAGTAGGGGATCCGGGGAGGCTTGAACTTAGTTCTTAGGCTACATTATTTCTACCCCTGGTTTACAGAAACCTCCAGCAACAGAGTCTAATGCAGTGTTTCTCAACCTGTGGGTCCCCAGATGTTTTGCCCTTTAACTTCCAGAAATCCTAACAGTTGGTAAACTGGCTGGGATTTCTGGGAGTTGTAGGCCAAAACACCCGGGGGCCCAAAGGTTGAGAACCACTGGTCTATGTCTCAATGCAGGGATTGGCCCAACGCATTGCCCAACTCTTGTCCAAATTCTGCTTAAGCTTGCAATTCTACACAACAATTGTTAGGATATATATTCCTGTGAACCTTCACTTTAGTAATCTGAACAGGGAAGGTGTCAGGGCTCATGGCCTATAGACACTATGTACCTTTGTGGAGCGAGGTGGTACATAACTGTAATAAATGAACCCAGCCACACAAAGTTGGCCACTCTGTTCTCCGAGAGGTGCTCTGCTTTTCATATGTCTCCTAACTAAGGACTGTGTGGGACAAAATGGGGACAGAGAACTGCTGCAAAAGCATCAAATAATAGTTCTCTTGCCCGGTACACAGACAGAAAAGAAGCAAATGCCAAGCGGTAGCATCATTCTTATGCCCTCTACCCCCCACCCCCCTTCATTCCTCCTTCTACAATATGTTGCAGCTACTATCTTGATCAAACACAATATTATTTACTATCAGGCACCAAGCAAACAAGCACTTGTGGCATGATCAAAGAACATCTGTGTTGGCATGATATGATGAAGCAGTCCTGACTCTGTTGCCTAAGAGGAAATAAAGAGCTGGGGGCAGGGGCAATTCTTGTAGAGTGCCAGTGAAGGCATGCAGAACCCTCCAAACAGCCAAAAGGAGAAATAAGTCCAGCCACTTTGGGCAGACTTTTAAGAAGGAAAAGTTGCAGGCGTTTCTATCTTATAAAAGAAAACCAAAAATAACAAACAACCATCTTTCTATTTCAATGCTTGGTTCTAAAGGGCCGGGCTTTACCACAGCTGGTTAACTGCCAGCTGCTCCAAATCCCAAGTGCTGGTTATAGGGCTAAAATGTCCTATACGGCTCAGGACAAGGGCGTTCAAAGGACTGTATCTTTCTATACAGTCCCACCCAAATTCTTACAATCTTCAGGGAAGAGCTTCATACATTTTGTGGAAACATGGAAGGAGCCTTCTCCATGTCTGCTCCTAGATTCTGGAACTCCCTTCCAAGAGCGCCTAAGCTGGCTCTTTCTTTGGTGTCCTTTTGTCATTCAACAAACACACCTGAGGCCCACAATCCCATCAAATGTGCCCAAGAACACGGGAAAGGACAAATAAATACTTCCATAAATGTTGCTAAGTAAAAACAGAAGACTGGCTTACTTCTTTGCTTTTTCTTCATCATATTTACAATGCAGGTCAACCAGTTCGGTCTGTGTTGTCTTTAGTGCTGACCATAAAGGGGGGGGGGGGGGGAAACAACAGCAAAGGGTAAGACATATATTTTCATTTGACATGGATAGATGAGGAGGGAGAGAAATGGGGAGGACTTGCCTGACATCAACCGGGAACAACAGGTGGTTGTTTGGGAGAAGAAACCAGCTTTCACTTAAGAGCTAAATATGTCATGATGGACAGACAATGCAATCTTTAGTATGAATCCACATAAAATTAATTTAAAACTAAGGGCCAAAGGTACTCTGCTAAATCAATCAATCAATTGCCCAAATGAGCATTAACCTACCAGAATGGAGGACTTTGATCTTCTTTTCTGCTTCCCCCAGCCGAGCAGCCAAAGTGATCTGTACTTCTTGCAAGTCCCTGAAAGAAGAGATGGATTCTCTTTCTTACAGTTCTATAAGGCAACCGAATCCAAAAGATGAGGGCCATTGCATTTTTATCCCACCCAGCTCCTTCACGAGCTACTCACGTACTTTTGATCTTCGGCCTTATTTTTCTGCAGTGGGAAGGTCTCTGCTGTCAGGAGTGCTTTGCTGTTGGTCGTGAGCCTGCTTCCCACCAAAGCAGTGAGTCCTGGTGGAGGCGTCCCCTCTCTTTGCTCTGGAAGGGGACGAAATTCCATATCAGGGCAAAATAGGCCAGAAAAGTCACCTAAGGCCAAGCCATCAGTCTGAGACTACAGCGTTTCTGTTGATTATTGCATTGAAGGAAAAAGGTAAAGGTTTCCCCTGACATTAAGTCTAGTTGTGCCCGACTCTGGAGGTAGTGCTCATATCCATTTCTAGGGCAAAGAGCTGGCATTGTCCGTAGACACCTCCAAGGTCATGTGGCCAGCATGACTGCATGGAGTGCCATTACTGTCCCACAGAAGCAGTACCTATTGATCTACTCACATCTGCTAGGTTGGCAGAAGCTGGGACTAACAGAAGGAGCTCACCCCACTCTCCGGATTCGAACCGCCAACCTTTCAGTCAGCAAGTTCAGTGGCTGAGGGGGCCCACAGCATTAAATGTTTGCCTTTTTGTAAGTAAACTGCTTAAGTCCCCTCAGGGAGAGAGGGTGGTCTAAAAATAAAGTGATGATGATGATGATGATGATGATGATGATTATTATTATTATTATTACCCTGCCTTACCCAGTGATAAATGAAACTTCAGTGTCATGCCAAGACATGGAGTTCAAAGAGCAGCCACAGGGGCAACTTTCTGGACAGGTTATCTTTTGCTAAAGCCTGCCTCATTGTAATACCAACTGGAGCAAACCCATTGAATCAACTATGGCTAAATGGTGTGCCAAGACATAGATAGATCAACTATGATTCAAGAAGTTAGGATTACCATATCATGGCACCTGTTTATTCTCCACCAGATGAATGTGGTTCTTTCCTCCTATATTCCCATGTCTTTGCACTCGCCCCATCCTGCGGCTCAAGGCAAGCAACTAGACCAAGGCACAGGGGGGGGGGGGGGGGGGGGGGGGGGTCTGGTACCTTTGGAGCACAGGAGCTCAGTGTTGCTCTTCCACGGCCGGTTCAGCTCCTTCAAAGGTGGGTTCTCCGGACCAAGGCAATGCAGCTGCTGGCGCTGGTCTTCGAGGCTTCGTGTGGTCTCCAGGGCGGGAGCAAGATCTAGATGAGGAAGAGGGCAAAGGCAGAAGGGTCAACGCTCCATTTCTCATGAGATCAACCCTGTATTGGCAATGGCAAATTTCTCTCCCTCCTCCCCTTTTTGTCATTTTTATTGCAAGGAGGTTTCTGGGCAGCTAGCAAGCAATACAAGAGCTGTTTCAAAGAATTTCACCCGCAGAAACACAACAACGGCACTCGGAAAATGTCTAAGCAGGGGACAAAGAAGTACCTACGCTCTTGGCATGACAAAAACCACTGGTTTACCTGTTTGTTTGTTTGTTTGTTTGTTTGTTTTCAAAGGATCTGCCATGATTTGCCCTGAGGACTTTGAAAGCCTTTAGAGGCCACAACACTTAATACAAGATGATGATATTTCTACATTCAGGAAATGCTTTCCTATGAAGCCCTAGAATGTATCTGGAGGATGCAATGTCTATTCACCCACGCACGTCTTCTGGCCTTGCTTGACTGACGGTTCCTGTTTTTAAGCCTTAGCCGGGCTTGTCAGACTTTACTGTCACTTCATGCAAACAAACAACACTCATTTTCAAACATCTTCCCGCAGTATGAAGAGTTTGGGAAAGTGGCTGTCTTGGCTAGTAGACAGAGATTCCACATATTTGTGCCTCTGTCTCTTTATTGCAGTGTTTGGCAAAATGACTGGGAGTAGTAGTACAAAAAAGTCACTTTGCCAACCTCTGGCAGCATGCTTTCGAGCCCAGTGCTGCATTGCCCCCTTTGCCTTGCTTCTGTCAGGACCACAGCACAACACAAGGCTTGTACACCTCCAGTCATGTACCCAACAGCTGGGACTCCACACCTTACAATGCCAAAGGCAATGTGTGGTGGGGGTTCGGCTCAGGAGGGACAAAGTGGACCTGGAGGCCAATGTCCATCCCGCCCAACATCTCGCTCAGTAAGGAACAGCTTAGGAGATCAGGTGTAGCCGCTCCACCAGGACCTCCATGGTGAAAATGAGCGAGCCGTGCAAAGTAAGTGGGCTTAGAGGATGTTCCGCCCGGCCTTGGCGCTGCTGTCAGCCTGCCGGAGTTACCATCCAACGGCACGTTCTGCCGATAATGCCTGTTTGCTTAGGCTGCGTTGGGCGCTGAGAAGAGCGTGTTCTGCCGAGGTAAGCAGGTGCATTCCAAGCAGGGTCCGTCCCCCTCCATCAGCCGCCCGCCATCATTAGCCAGCCTCAGCTCAGCAGGGGGGCTCCATTATGCCTCCCAGGACCAATGTAATTATACATTGACATAATTAACCCAGCAAGCCCATTAGGAAGGCCGGCGAAAAAATTCATCCATAATTATTTGTTGTGTGCATGCTAATGAGTCCATCTGCACTGCCATTGTACAACATGAACAAATTAATTTACAAGTCTGGCTCTTTTATAATAAGTTCAAGAAAATGGCTCTTATTGTAACTTGGCTGATGTTTTCTCATCTGTCACATTGACCCATCCCCATTGTTTTTTTTTTCTTGAGGGGTGGTACCCAAAGAGAATGAAATCGTCTAGGGTCAAGAAACGGGCAAAGATAGCAGCGGCTGGTTGCAGCGAGGCTTTGTTGTTCAAATTTTAGACCAAACCAGCAACGGAATTAGCTCTCTGGGATTGATGCCCACTGAGGCAAGTTACAGATGGCAGAAATCAAAGGGAGCCATCGACATGGTGGCATGGAGGTACAGCCTTGTCAAGGAATACTTCATTCTTCAAAGAGTGGTGAACTTTGGCCAAAATAGTCAAGTTCTCAGAGGCAACTAGTCTTTGGGGAGGGTTTCTTGGGGAAATGCCTCCTCTTGACTGCCATTTTGGGGCTGAAAATGGGAGAATCATGCCTCCCCTATGTTGGATCACTGGCTGCCAGAAATGTGACCACAGGTTATGGAAAACATTTCAGGGCAAGAAAAGTAGATGGAAGAGGCAAAAGAATAGTTTACCCCAAGGCAGTGTTCTTACACCAACCTTGTTTAACATCTTTATAAGAATCGGCCACAGTCACAATTCACAAAAAGCTTTATAAACGCTGATGACGTTGGTCTAACAACATAAGTAAAAGACTTTAAAACTAATGTCCTGACGGTTCCGGCCCAGCTTACTTGTCCAAACGTATCTCCCTCTATGAACCATCATGGAGGTTAAGTTCTTCTGGGGAGGCTCTGGTCTCAGTCCCGCCTCGGTTGCAAGTGCAGTTGGTGGGGACGAGAGACAGGGCCTTCTCAGTGGTGGCTCCTCAGCTCTGGAACTCCCTCCCCAGCGAGATTGGATCGTTTTGAAATAGCATTATTTAATAGCCATCATTATGTTCAGTATTGAGAATCATTTGGCTTTCATTTAGAAAGAGAACAAAGACGTGGTTGTGGGATCAAGCTTTTGGCTAGTAAAAGAATGAAGTACAAAGAATGATTAAGGAACATGTGCAATGATAATCGGAATGGCTATGGTGCATTTTTTAATTATGTGATTTTAATATTTATACTAGGATGAGTTTAATGCTTTGTCTGAATGTTTAAATGTTGTTTGTGTCCTATGTTTAATGGTTTTAATGATTTTAAGTCGAAGTTATATGTAGTAATTAGTTATTATGATTTCTTGTGTTACTGTATGTTGGCATTGAATTTTTGCCATTTATTTATTTATTTCGAATCAAAAGCATTGCATAAATTAGTACAAAACTAATAAAAATAGAAGGAGCACAAGCGGCTAAATATCTTTCAATGAAAAACGGGCAACAGTGACCGCATTTTCTGTAGCCTCCAACAGTTTTTCCTCTGTACATGAGGCAGGACATTGAGGACAAGCATACAGATGTGGAGTTGTCTGTTCTGCTCCAGAGTTGCATAAGGTGAAGGATTCTTTTCGATAGTGCCATTTTGCCAGGTTGTCTTTTGATCTGCCCACTCAACTTCTGAGTCTGTTCAAGGACTTCCAAGTTGCCCATTCTTGGTTTGCCCCTGGTGGAAGACCCTCATGGGGGGGGGGCATCCAATTGGGATTTCCGGGTTTAGCTGCCCACAGGGATACTCTTGCTGTTGCTGGGGAAACATTCAGAGGAGTGGTGATTCTCATGAAACTTTTTTTTGATTTGAGTCTACTGGGAGGAGGCTGATAGCCATGAAGTGGATGGCTTTCACAGTGTACAACCTTATTTCTCTCACAGTTAACAGTATGGAAAGAGCCTCCTCAAAGACTGAGTAAATACAGTCGGGCGTCCCCTGGAAAACGTTTCTTGTAAATGGCTGATCTTTCCAAACTCAAAAGCATTGCTTTTATTTTTGTCATTAATATGTTGTAAACCACCTTGAGTCCCCCCAGGGGTGAGAAAGGCAATATATAAATACAGTAAATAAATAAATATCTCCAGCTACTACAAAGATAACTGCCTGAAGCCTAACCTTGCCAAGATACAAGTGTGTGCTTTCTACCTATGCAAACATGAAGTCAGCAGAACATTGAAAGTTACCTGGGAAGGCCATGAGCTTGAACACTGTTCCTACCCTAAATATCTTGGATCGAACACTAACATTTAGGAAACACTGTGCAAACACCAACCACAAAGTAGCTGCACACAATAACGTCCTGCGGAAATTTACTAATAGTGCATGGGAAGCAGACCCAAAATTAATAAGAACATCAGCCTTGGACTTGTCTTACTCAACTGCTGAATATTCTTGCCCCGGTTTGGCACAAGTCTGCCCACACGAAGCAAGTGAATATAGCACTGAATGAAACATGTAGAATAATCACAGGATATTGCAAACCTACACCTGCTTATAGACTTTATAAGCTAGCTGGCATCCCCCCCCCCCCCATGTGCAACAGGAAGTTACGGCCAATTGCGAGAGAAATAACGTTGAACACTATGAAAGCCACCCACTGTATGGCTATCAGCTTCCTCCCAGTAGACTCAAATCAAGGAAAAGTTTCATGAGAATCACCACTCCTCTTAATGTTCCTCCAGCAACAGCAAGAATATCCCCGTGGGAAGCAAAATCAGCCAGTTCTAACTGGATGGCCCCCCAACTAGGGTCTTCCTCCAAAGGCAAACCAAGAATGGGCAACTTGGAAGTCTCCAAACAGACTCAGAAGTGGAGGGGGCAGGTCAAAGGACGACCTGACAAAAAGGCACCACCTAGAAGAATCCTCCACCTGGTGCAACTGTGGAGAAGAACAAACAACTCTGCACCTGTATGCTTGCCCACCATGCCCTGCCTCATGTACAGAGGAAGAACTGTTTCAAGCTACAGACAATGCGGTCGCTGTCATCCGTTTTTGGTCTAAAACTGTTTAGCTGCTTGTGCTCCCTTTATTTTACCAGTTTTAAAACTTATTTGTGCAATGCTTTTGACACGAAATAAATAAAATGGAAAATGTGACACAAACATGACATGTATGCTATTTCTTAATAACATTTTGATATTTTTGTTAGCACATATATCACAAAACAGCAAATTTATCCATGCCACTGTATTTCCAATTTCTGTGTAAGATTTTGAAAGCTAGGCAATCGGGAAAGCTAACAGAAGGAAGATCAACTCATTTGAAATGCAGTGTTGGAGGGGTTTTGTAGATACCACGGACTGTAAAACAGACAAACAATCCCTCATGAGAACAAATTAAACATAACTTTCCCTAGAAGCCAAAATGACCAGACTAAAGACATCATACTTTGACCATATCAAGAAAGAACACGATCACTGGAAGAGATGAGAATGTCTGGGGAAACAGTAGGAAAAGAGGAAGATCCCTCAACAAATAAGTTGAGTCAACAAAGGAACCAAGGCTGCACTTTTCTCAGAAGCCTGGAGAACTGCAAGGAGATACCAAAGGGCATACACAGAGTACAGTTCTATAAAGGCAAGCTGATAAGCCAACATCACAGGCCAAATCTTATCTGTAGCCTCCCACCTTTTTCGTGATCAGCAAATAGCTTCTTCCTGATGCTGCCAGCCTTATCAGGATGGGCCAGGGAACCACATGGCCTGGGAAACCATTCTGA